TCTTTCTTTCTTTCTTTCTTTCTTTCTTTCTTTCTTTCTTTCTTTCTTTCTCCCTTTTTCCCTCCTTTTCTCTGTCTTTTTATTTTGGGGTGGGCGCGCGATGTGGAGATAACTTTTTTTTAAATGTGGATGATGACCAACAACCCAGAAGGAGAGGAGAAGGAGGTTGGGAAAGGTTTCAGTTGGACGTGTCTACCGAGAGAGGCTCATTCTGATTTCTTTTCAAATTGTGATTCGAACACAACTTGAATGGATTCAATCCCAATTTACAGGCTTTTCAGGTTACCATCTTCACTGTACCTTTCAGGCTGCGTTATCTTTCTCACCTCCCTTTGTGAGGCTCACACGCTTCTCTCCAGAGGAATCCTGTGTTTCCCCCAAATAAATACACCACCTTCTTTGCACACTTGGGGGTGTTCTGCTGATTTCAGCAGACTTCTATCAATCCACACTTAGAAATGCCATAATACACCAAGATCTGGTTTCCTTCAGTGACCATAGATGGGAGGGAAAGTCTGGAGTTTAATCTGGCTTGCAAGAGGTAGGACAGATTCCTGCAAGCAGTTACAATTAGTCCTTGACATACAACTATTCATTCGGTGACCAGTTGCCCCGGCACTGGGGGGAAAAAAGTGATGTATGTCTATTGTTTCCACACTTAACAACTGTTGCAGCATCCCCAGATTTATGTGAACAAAACTTGGACGCTTGTTATTTATGACGGTTGCAGTGTCTCCTGGGGTTGTATGATCCCCTTTTGCAACTTTCTGACAAGCATAGTTAATGGGGAATGCAGATTTGCTTAATGACCATGTTACTAACTTAACAATGCAGTGATTCACTTAGCAACGGTGGCAAGAAATATTGTCAAATGGGCCCAAACTCATTTAAAACTGCTTAACGACCAAAATTTGGGGCTGAATTGTGGTGGCAAGTCAAGAGCGACCTGTATTTCATTCTAGAATCAAGTGAATGGTTCTGGATCCACTCCTGCTTGACGAGAGATGCCTTCCTTCTGACAACTTCAAACCCAAGGACCCCATCCACCTTGTTGCAGGGCACTCTCACCTGTTCTTTGTTGCAAGAGAGAGAGATGCAGGGCGGGAGATGAGTGGTTTAAGAAATATGAAATAAATAAAATAAAATAAAGCAAACCAGCTCCTTGCCGATGTGAATGGCAGGGTGGTGCATAGCCCCTGGCACAATACACAAGGATCACTGTGGGGAATTAATGCAGAAATGCAGGATTTTAGCCAACCGGGTGTAAGGAGGTATCTTCCTTCCCTTCCTCTTTATTATATCTACCTGCAACTTTAAACCTTTTGACTGATCTTGTGGACGGAAAAGAAGAAGCTGCACAGGTTTGGGAAAGAAATAGCCATTTTTCTGGGCTTGGCTATCACTTACAACGTCTGTAAAAAAAAAATTATTTGGCCTGGGCTTTTCAAAATGGATTTGCAAAGCAGACTTCACACCCCCTCTTCTCTTTTCAATGGACAAAGCTGAATTTCAGTATTTACTCCCTGTCCCCCATTTCGATCAGATAATAACTGTTTGCATCCAGAAACTGCAGTCATTTGGTTAGTATGTTAGTATTTTTTTTTCTTCTATTCATACACTTGGTATGATAATTTTACACTGTTCTTAGCTCAATGAGCACGTTTAGACCTTAACATAAGCTATTTTTCTAAATGCAAAAGAGGAATAAGTGAAGAAGAAAAGCATCATCCTTGGAATTTTAGCATTGAAGTGCTTTGGGGGGAAAAAAATAACAACAGACTTCTTTAAAAAAAACCTTGAGATTTATTAAAGAAAAATGTATTTTATGTTATATATAAATATATTATTACTTGTAAATACAAAGACGTTTTATAAGCATCATTATTTATGTATTGTGCAATGTGTATAAACAAGAAAAATAAGAAAAGATGCACTTTGCTTTAATATAAATGCAAATAACAAAATGCCAAATTAAAAAAAAAGATAAAAATTAACGATTGGTGGCCGTTTTCTCTCTTATGGTGTGCTGTTTTTGTAGTCTGTTGCTTGAAAGGGTAGTGGACTCACAAGATGGAAAGTGTGACCATGATGACTAAAAGGGACATCAGGCTAGTTCAGAGGTCTCCAAACTTGGGCTGGCTGGAGAATTCTGGGAGTTGAAGTCCACAAGTCTTAAAGTTGCCAAGTTTGGGGACCCCTGGGCTAGTTGATGGCTGTGTGTGTGTGAGAGAGAGAGAGAGAGAAAGAGAAAGAGAAAGAAAGAAAAAGAAAAGACTTCAATTTCTCATCTACACTGCAACTGACATCAATGCTGTAAACCAGGGATGTCAAACTTAAGGCCCACAGTGCCTCTCCAATGAAAACGGAGCTTGGGAGCCTGTTTTTGCTGGCAGGCCATTCAGGCAACCACATGAGTGACATTGAGTTGGCCACGCCCACCCTTACCACGCCAACCCAGCCCCCAACACAACCCTGATGCGGCCCTCAATGAAATCAAGTATGACACCCCTGTTGTAAACCCTTATACAATGAAAACTTTAAGGAAAAGTTTCAATACAGGTAATCCCTGACTCACAACAGGTTTTTTTAGTGACCATTCAAAGTTATAACGGCACTTTAAAAAGTAACTTATGACTCTTTTTCACACTTATGACTGTTGCAGCATTCCCCAGGGTCACGTGATCAAAATTCAGATGCTCGGCAAGTGATTGACATTTTTGAGGGTTGCAGATAATGCGATAATCATCTTTTGTGACCTAATGGGGAAGCCAGATTCACTTATCAACTGTGTTACTAACTTAACAACTACAGTGTTTCACGCGAGAAAGATTATAAAATGGGGCAAAATTCACTTAACAAATATCTTGCTTAACCACCAAAATTTTGGGATCAATTGTCAAATCAAGGACAACCTGTATTCAGGAAAAAAAAACTTACTTTTTTGTCGCAAGACTTTTTTTTTTTTTGCATTTTTTCTTTTTTAAAAATGGGAAAAAATACTTCCTAATACTGTCTTTGTAAACAAAGCATAAAGTCATTGCGTGTTGCCCAAGCTTTTTAGTCTGTGCAATTCTTTTTTAAAGCAGCTACTAGCTAATAGTCAAGATACGCTGATAAGGCTATTTTTCAAGGCTTGTTCGTCAAAAGTTTTGTAGTCCAGTTTTGAAATGCAAGAATGCCTTTTGTTTTTCCCTCTGGGGTTGACTGACATTTACTTCTCCCCCACCCTACACACACAAAAATTCAGCTTCTGGGCTCTTCCTTCCTCTTGTGACTTTTTGAACTCGAGAGGTTACTGCAATCTGCAAAACCCTAGGATCGTAAAGGTGTATCACAATAAAAACCTGCTTAAAGGACAACCAAGGTCAAACAGATGTTAGAGCAGTTGTGTTTTCGTGTTGACCGGCTTCTGAAAAGATTCCAGAGCTGCTCAGGTCATAATTAAAGGAGTCTTCTAAAAAGTTGTTTTAAGAGCCACAGTTTAGTGCAGTGGTTAAAGGCACCACCAAATCTCCAGGTTTACTCCTGCCTGAAGCAGGAAGCCAGCTGGGTTATTTGGGGCCATTCCTTCCC